CGCACAATTTGCATGGAGCTCGGCCCTCTCTCTAGTACTAGCTGGAGAGTTGTAGTGGGAGACATTCGCTTATCTAGATTTTTTATTCACTTGGCGACATCACAAATTAAGCAATTATAGCATAAAAATAGAGGGGTAAAAGTGGTATAATTGTCCTCTTTAGTAGGGGTGGGATCGGTCCGGTCTGGGTGGGGTTTTTGCTAAACCCGGAAATTACCCGGAAGGTCTCGGGTTATGAAAATTAGGGACCGGAACAAAGCCCATCATATTCGGTCCGAGTCGGGTTTTTGGTAGCCCGGGTTCGGTCCTGGTTCGGGTTGGGCCTGTTAAAGCCCGAACGTGAACTATCTCATTGTTCTTTTATACCCTCCTCCGTTCTTTTTTAGTTGCAACGGTCAACATTTCACACTTGCCAACGCACATCTTTGACCGTAATTATATCTTAATCCCTATTACTAAAAAATATTTAAAAATTAGATTTTGAAAATTTGTAATGAGATGAATTGAACAATTTAATTTTAAAAAAATAATTTTCATAAAATAATAATATAAAATGTAGTCAAAGTAGAACATGTGAATAGTGTAAAATTCAACATGTTGCGATTAAAAAGAGACGGAGGATAGTATTTTAACACCTATTTTCAAATATAATTAATGAAAAATACAAACCGCAAATAATAACACAAATATTAGTCTTCAAAATCACCAACAATTCAAATCCAAAGAAGATAATTATCTTAATATTTTATTTAATATGCATATAAATAAATAATATAGGTTTCTTAAAAATATTTCGAAATAAAATTTATAGATAAAAATGTGAATAGAGTTCCTATAAATATATTTTCATGGTCATTATGCTAAACAAATTAAACATATTTGTAGTCACTAAAAGTTACTAAATGATTTTTTATCCACCGTGATTATAATCATATATTAGGGAATATTTATAAATTTATATTCATATACTCGTATTATATTAATTTTATATTAAAGCTAATTGTTTTGGGTTTTTTCGGTCCGGGCCGGGTTATAGATTTCAAGGCCCGTTAATGAGCCCGGAATTTTGGGTTCGGTCCGGGTATTTTTAACTCGGGCCGGTTAAAAAGAAAAAACTCGGACCGGGGTCATAATTCGGGTCGGTTCAGGGTCGGTTTCCGGGTTTCGGTTCGGTTTTTCCCACCCCTACTCTTTAGGGAATAAAAGTATAGTTAGTTAGTTACTCATATTTTGAAAGTTAAGCACATTTTAGTCCTATTTAGGACAAAAACCCCCACACATATTACTTTCCCTCTTTCATTGGACAAAAATATGACTAACATTCGTATAAACAAAAAAAAAGAATCAAAATGTCTGTCATTTACCCCAGTGTCCTGAAACCCTAATCTCTCTTTCATTGTTTCCTTGCTATGCTCAAAGACCAAGAACTCCCTAGGACGAAGTAGACGCGACGAACTTTCGTAGGGACGGAGCATCCACCTCCCCGCGGACAAAGCAGATGGATCGCCGCTTCCTCCGATGCCTTGGTTGTCTCCATCGCACGTCGCTCCCTTGGCCGTCACCATCGCCCATTGCCATCGACCACGCCTTCCTTCGCATCGCCTATAAAACATGAAAGTTTTATTTGTGCATCTCTTCATTGTTTTAATCCTATTTAGGAAATTAACTCTTTTAATTAGATTGGATTCAATATCAGAAGATCAGACTTAAACATACTAGGGATGTTTTCTTTTGGACTGTTTTCAGTACCAGACCAAATCAGACCAGACTTCCGTACTTATAAAATACACAGTATTAGACATTTACCAGACCAGACCAGTTCAAACTAGACCAAACCAGATTAGATCAGCAAATTTCAGTTCAAAAGAAAACATCCTAGATCTGATTTCGAAAATTGTAAAAATTGTAAAAAATTAAATCAAACTAGATCGGTTTATATCAAATCAGACCAAGTCAAATTTAAATAAACCAATTCAGACCAGAATATTTTAGTCGAATTAAAAGCATCTTTGTCCATGATTTTAAAATAAATAGAAAAAACTAAAGAAAACGGTTATTTTTGTTTGCTTCATATTTTTTTATCCAAAAACAAAGCCGTCCACAAGTATTGTTACGCCTAATTCAAAACAACCATGTTTGTTGTACCACCACTTTGTACCCATCTTATCCCCACCTCTGTGAAAACTATTTTTTTGTCTGTGAATCCGGTTCACAGACAAAATATGTCTTTGAATTCCTTCACAGATATATTTTGTCTGTGAAGGAATTCACAAACAAAAAAATATAACTTCTCAAACATGGATGGGTACAAAAGTGGGTATAAAAATGGATACAAACATCATTTTCCAATTCAAAATCACCCGGTAAAATAAGAACACTCCCCCCACACACACACATTTGTGAGACTAAAAATAGGAATTCTACTCTTATGCTGAATCTGAATGCTTCTAAGGTAGTGTTTGCAATCACTTCTTAGAAGTGTTTTTCAACTCCAACTTTAGCTTAATTAAAAGCACTTTTAAACCAAAAGTTGAAAGTTGACTGTGGGATGCTTTTAGGTGCTTCTTGGTTCTTTGGTAAATAATTCAGAGCCCGTTTGGTAAATATTTTTAGTCTCACAAATGTGTGTGTGTGGGGGGAGTGTTCTTATTTTACCGGGTGATTTTGAATTGGAAAATGATGTTTGTATCCACTTTTATACCCACTTTTGTACCCATCCATGTTTGCAGTTTGGTAGCACAAAAATCGGCTGATTTGGCTGATTCTGCTGAAATTTATGAAGTTCTAACTGCATTGGCTGCATTGGCTGATTCTGCTGATTTAAGAAAAAATTATTTTTAAAATATATTTTATTATTAAAATAAAGAAAAAATTATATGTAAAAATAGCTAAAATGATCATCTACAGCAACTTCAGTCAATACAGGCAGAAAAGTAACTCCAACCTTATTTTTTCAACGCGCGAAAGCAAAAGTTACATGTTTGGTAAAAAAGTTGACTGATAAGTCGAAAAATAGTGATGCCAAACGGCCTCTCAAACTTTTAGGATATTTAGGGTTGGTTTGCAATCACTTTAAAAAAAGCACTTCTCAGCTTTTGGCTTTAAAAACACTTCTTTTACCAAACACTACAACTTTTATTTTTCTCGACTTTCGTGTCAAAAGTGCTTTTACTTTTTCTATTATACAAAAATCACTTATTTTACCAAACACTATTAACTTTTACTTTTCAAAAACACTTTTTTCTCAAACACTATCAACTTTTTTTTAATCACTTCTCCACATTTCATTAAAAAGGCACTTTTTTAAAGCAGAAACTGTTGCAAACACACCCTTATTAGGTTAACATATCCCATTAACCCCAAAATACGCAATGCCCATTCGTGCTTCCCATATCCCATTAGTGCTTCTTGATTTTACTTTTGGGGGGTATTTATGTATTTTAACAATATATTACACCAAAAATCACTTTTTTATAAAACACTCCAACTTTTACATTTTGATTAAAATCACTTCTATTTTCAAACACTATCAACTTTTACTACAAAACACTTTTCCGATAATCTCTTAAAAAAATCACTTCCGAAAAGTAGAAGCTCTTGCAAACACTCCCTAAGGGGGTGTTTGGAACTGATTCCGCTTCTGCTTCTTTTTAAAGCAAAATCAGAATCAGAATCAGTTTTCAGAAACTGGTCTCCCTCATCTTCTAAAAACAGTGACTCTAGGAGTAAATTAGAGCACCAGAATAACTTCAACATTTTCACCCAAACACTCCAACTTCTGCTTCTGTTCCCTGAAGGAGCAGAAACAGTTTTAAGAATCAGATCCAAACACCGCCTAAGTTTAATTCTTGATTCATTTCTCTAATTTATAAATCAAGCAAGATGAATATATGGTGCAACAAATAGTAAATACTCCCTCCGTCCCTAATAAAACTTCCAAATAGGTTTGGCACACAGTTTAAGATAGTGGGTATTGTGTGATGGAGAGTTGTGCAGAGGAGAGAGAAATGTGTAAGAATTGTTGTGAACCACAAATTCTGGCAAAAAAGGGAAAGTGAAAGTTTATTTAGGGATGGAGGGAGTACTAAATACCCATGTAAACGTGACATTTGAGTTCAATCTTAAATACTCCGTATCATTACTCTTATTTATGATTTTTTTGAATACTCTTGATATACAAAGTGCTATGTCTAGATAATCTATGGTAAAACCAATGGGTGGTTTCAACAAATTTCATTATTGTGAAACCAGCCGGTGAGCCTAGGTAAATTGATAGATAGAAGTGTTATAACTCATAAGAGGTAAGTCTCGATCCTAATTTTGACAATTGTGATGAGAAATTATGTAAAATAAAAATTCAGAGGGACTACGCAAATTCTATGCAAATTGCGGTTCGGGATCTCAGGGATGAGTTGCATCTTTCACGGAGTATATCATTGTGAAACCAATTGGGCCACTTCTATCCTTAGGCAGGCACAGAAAAGTGGTTTAAGCACACATTCCCCCCGCCATAACGTGCGTTTGTGTGAAACAAAGTGTAAATGCGTTTGTGACTGAAAAAAGAGGGGATAGATTGCACCTTTGGTGAAAGAGCAGAGTGACCCAAATGGGCAAAAGTCTTAATTTTGGGAAGCCATTTTGGTGTTAGGGCACTTAAATGAAAATAGGCACAATTATTGTTTATAGCAGCAGCAGGAGATTTTGCAGCAGCCCAGCCCCCTTCTGTCTAGTCTTTTCTTCTTTTCTGCATTAGACTATCAAAAGGAACAAATGAGAGCAATTTTTCAGCAGTATTTGTGTTGTGCGCCTAAATCAAACCACCCCACCCCCACCCTCACCCACCCACCCGCCCCACCCTAACGTATCTCCTTCTCCCCCTCTGCTTCCATGGCTGTAACAACCATGAGAGGAAAAAAGTGAGGTAAAAAACAAGAATTGCTTATTACAGTATATATTCCTGTCGCTCTCATTTTTCTGACCTTCAAACCTCCTTACTGTCACTGACATCCCGTATCACCCCACCCTCTATCTCTCTCTCCCTCTCCTCCTTTCTTTCTCTCTCTCGCCCCACCCTCCCACCACCTTATTATACCCACTACCCCATTATCACTGTCACGGTTTATTCCTCTCTGTGTTTGGATGAATGAATAAAAATGCTCTAATCTTCTTCTCCGGAGCTCTGTATGTGTGTTGAACATGCATCTCTGTCATGAAAGGAGCCTCCTTTTTCTCAGCATTTTCGTGGCTTCGGCGGGTATTTCTCTGTGTTTTGAAGGGAGGAACCCGGAAGGTAACTCAGAAGTTTTGAATAATATTTGAAAAAGAAGGAATCTCGGATTTCTGGTTGTGGGGTTTTGAGTGATTTTTATTTCTCAATGGGGTTTTGCGTGTCTTGCAGTTGAAGCTTTAGTAGCCTTAAGGAATGACTTGAATGATCCCAATGGAGTTTTGAAAAATTGGGATGTGGATTCTGTGGATCCTTGCAGTTGGGCTATGATAACTTGTTCTCCTGATAATCTAGTCACTGCATTGTGAGTTTTTTTTGCCTTTTCCTCTGTAGCTTGTTGGTTTCCTTTTTTAAGTATTTTACTTTATTTAAAAAATAAGGTAAAGAAGGGAAAACTAATTCCTGGGTTTTGCAGGATAGCACCAGGTCAAGGTTTATCAGGGACATTGTCTGGGGTTATAGCAAACCTCACAAATCTCAAACAAATGTAAGAATGCCCTGTTTTGGTGGATTTATGGTGGAATTATAGTTTATTTTTTTCCCCTGATAACAAAATGGGAAAAAACCAGATACCCATTTGTATTAGAGTCCAAATTATTGAAATACATTCCTTATTTATTTCATGCAGGTTGTTACAAAACAACAATATATCAGGCCATATTCCAAAAGAGATAGGCAAACTCCCCAGTCTTCAGACTTTGGATCTATCCAATAATGAGTTCTCGGGTCATGTGCCAGAAACACTGGGCCTCTTAAACAATCTGCAGTATTTGTATGTTCTGGATAATAATTCTTCAATTGCATTTTGTTTTCCTTTTTAATAATCTCTTCAAGTTTTTCGTTTTTGTCATTTAATGAACAGGAGGTTGAACAACAATAGCTTGTCCGGGGTGATACCTCTGTCTTTATCTAGGGTCCCCAAACTTGCTTTCTTGTAAGATGTGCCCCTTTTCCTGTATTTCTTTTGTTTCAAGTCCTCTCTTTTTGTGTTTATTTTCTTTCTTTCAATATCTTCAGGATGAAACTTCTTCAAATCACTTCTTTCTATAAAAAATAAAGGATAAAACTTCTTCAGATTACTTCTTTCTCAAAAAAAGGATGAAGCTTCTTCAAATTACTTAGCTGCACTTTGGTGCCTTTGTAGAAATTAACGTAATTTTTTAGTGAAAATTTGCATCATGTCATACCAAATACTCCCTAAACTAGTCCTGTTTATGATAATATCTGTCTTTGTTTTCATTATCCTTCAGGGATCTATCTTACAACAATTTCAGTGTACCAGTGCCAACATTTACAGCTAGAACATTCAAGTATGTTCTTATGTCATAATAATGTTTTTTTTTTGTTTTATATGCAAATTTATTTAATTATTAACCTTATTAAAGTAATAAGAATTTCTCTGTTATTAATGTTGGCACAGTATTGTGGGCAATCCCTTGGTTTGTGGAAGCCTCTCTTCCGGGACATGTAATGGGTCGTTAAATACGACTCCTCTTTCAATCATTTTAAATACAACTGGGGGTAAGTTTTGAATAATCATCTCTTTGTGTACATTTAATTCATTTAATAAATATACTCACTTAACATGATTATTATTATTATTATTAATAATAATTATTTTCTCACAAACATCACAGGAAGAAATGTCTCAAAAAGACTTGCCATTGCACTTTCAGTCAGCTGTAGCTGTGTCTCTCTTTTTCTCTTGGCAATGTCATTTATCTTTTGGAAAAGAAGCAATCGGAGAAAGCTGTCCATTCTTAATGTTAATGGTGAGTTAATTCTTAAATAATTCCTTCATTTTGATTCTCATCCCAAACATGGTGGGCATGTTTGTCAATTGAAGAGCTTCTAGCTTATCTGGTACTGTTTGAGGTTTGACCAGCTGCAAATAACTTTTAGAAGTTTTATTAAATAACTTAATGGAAGAGCTTATTGGGTAAAAAATTTGCCTTACTAAAACTCTACCCGGCTTTTCATAAGAGCTTATAGTTTTATTTTGTACAAACATTTAGGGCTATGTTTGGCACGCATAAGCTAGCTGTCTAGCTTGGAAGTTAGCAATGAGTTTTTATAAGCAATCTCGTTTAATAAGCTTTGTTTGGTTGCATCAACTTATCTAATAAGCTTGGGCTTATATAATATAAGTGTTTCTGCATTAGCTTTTCAAATGAGCTACAGTACTTTTTCCTTTTGTAGATAGATCCATTTTTAATTTAATAAACTAGCTTCCCCGCAAATTTGTACCGAGTATATGAGATCATAGCCATTATCTGCTACAAGTTACAAGCTACTCCGTATTATTAAACATAGCCCAACTTTTGAACTTTAGTTCTCCTTGGGATTAGCCTATTACTCTATTAGCTATTAGCTTTTTGATTTTGCAATCAGCTGATCATACTGCTTATACCAAAAGGCTAAAACAACTAGTAGCAATAGACTCAAGTGGTCAAAATAAGCTAACACAGTCCATATTCAACTAACAGACATTTGGCAAACAAGGCCTTGCAAGTCATTGATCTTTGTTTTTTTCATTTTATTTTTTCATCAGATCTGCCAGATGAGGAGCTAGTAAAACTGGGGAACTTAAGAAGCTTCGGTTTCAAAGAGCTTCAACTTGCAACTGATAACTTCAGCTCCAAGAACATTCTAGGCGCTGGTGGATTCGGCAATGTTTACCGGGGGAAGTTCGGCGACGGGTCACTGGTGGCGGTTAAGAGACTTAAGGACATTAATGGGACGGCCGGGGAGTCACAGTTCCAAACAGAGCTTGAACTTATAAGCCTGGCGGTTCACAGGAACCTGCTCCGCTTGATCGGTTATTGCGCCACTCCAACGGAACGGCTTCTCGTCTACCCATACATGTCTAATGGTAGTGTGGCTGCAAGACTTAGAGGTATGCTGGTATTTACCTTTCAGAAACTTGTTGACATTTGCCTACTGTTTTTGTGAGTGGGGGGACCAAACAGTCTTTTTCTTTGTGCAACTTCAAATCAATGTGGTTAGATATTGGGGACCATGTCCTACCAGCTTTGAGGTGTGCTTCTTGTTTCATAGCCATAGTTTTCTGGCTTATGACTATTGGAAACAGTCAACGAGTTGTTTGTCTCGTTTTTTGTGTCATCTTAGTACAGTGGGACCTGGGGTTTGGACAGGGTCAAATGGAGCATAGTATGATTAGTTAGTTGGGGTCCGTTTGGAAATAACATTTGGTCAAAGGAAGCTTATGCATGACTTTATCTTTTAAGAGCTTAGCTAATCAATGTGACATTTTGGGAGTGTTTACCATTGATTACTACCTCTCCCCAAAGTTTTGGTCAACTTACTAAATAACCTTCTAGGTCTGCAATATTTCAAAATAAACCTCTTCACTGGTCATATATTCCACAAACAGTGAACGTTATTAGCATAAATTAATGTTTTTGGGAATAAATAACCTTTAATATCTATCCTAATTAACATTATGCTCTAAATGTCTTATGTGGTAAAATGCATTTAAAAGTTCAAATTAATTTGAAGACAGAATTTGAGAATTGTCAATGTTGAAAGGGATGTTCACAATACTTTTAACCGGTAACGAGTCTTATTTGTAAATACTTGAAACCACTACGGTCACTTGGTGATTTGACCAAACCTCAGGGAGGTAGGTGTAAAAAACCTTTTGTTTTTTAATATTGAACCTGATGCAAAGTATATAGGAGCTATACAGTATGCTCAGACTATTACTTAACTTATAGCTAGCCAAGTGAAATTAATCATTGACGTTTTTAATATAGGTTTCAATGGTTCTTTGGAAATTAGAATTTAAGTATTGTGTAACTATGAAATGATGTGAAAAAGAAAGACAAACCATTGGTAGTTATGTCGAGTTTGCTGTTAAGCAGAGGCTGTTAGAGAATCGGTAAGTTGCATTATTTATAGAGATGATATGAAGATCTAAAAAAACACTATATTATGAGGATAAAAATTACATGTAAGCCTTCATTATGAAGTTTGATTAAACAGTTGTATTTATAATGATAGGGAAACCGCCTCTAGATTGGTATACAAGGAAGAGAATTGCAATAGGAGCAGCGAGAGGTCTTCTTTATCTTCACGAACAATGTGATCCAAAGATAATCCACAGAGATGTGAAGGCAGCTAATGTGCTGTTGGATGAGTACTATGAAGCCATTGTTGGGGACTTTGGGCTTGCAAAGCTCCTTGATCACGCCGAGTCTCACGTCACCACAGCTGTTCGTGGGACTGTTGGGCATATCGCCCCTGAATACCTCTCCACCGGTCAATCATCTGAGAAAACAGACGTCTTTGGTTTTGGGATTTTGTTGGTTGAGCTTATAACAGGAATGCGAGCTCTTGAGTTGGGAAAGTCTGTTAACCAGAAGGGTGCTGCACTTGAATGGGTATTGATTCTCATTAAATTATTATTTTTCCAAAATATCACTAACTTAGTAGTTTATGTGATAATACAATCTCCAACCCACAAAAATGTGACATTTTGATTATTTTGTCCAATATGGAATTTTCGAAATCTACAAAAACACTATGTTTTTTTGAAAGTAGACAAAAACATTCTATGTTAAACCTTAACAAATGGTATATTTTGTTTATACACAATGATTTATGAGTAATATAAAGATCAAGGATGTTCTTTGTAAAACATAAATATCCTCTTGTAAAAGTGCAAAGGATAGTATTTTTCACTTAAATATATTGATCAAAGTTTGACATCATTGACCAAAAAATGAAAAAGAAAAAAATTAATTTAGTGTGGGACGGAGGTAGTAATTACTCACCCACATTGGTCATATCCAAACCCAATTTAAAAATATCACTTGTCATAATCTTAAATCCCAACATATTTATAAACTAAATTCAAAAATCCCAAAAATCCTTAGTAGTTTGATAAAATCACAAAATCATTCAATACAACATAATATAACAACAAAGTTATTTGGTATGTTACAAATTACAACATATTATCTTAATAATATCTGAAGTAATGCGAAAAAATTGAAGATTTATTTTACAATTTTGAAGCAAAAGTGGTTAGAAGTGGTTCTAACTTTCTCAGAACTCGTGGTGGCATCCTCACATTTTGAAACTATTTAAAGGCTTGATACAAAATCTGATAAGTGTTTGATAGGTCTGATATCAAATAAGTTAAAAAAAGCATTAGTCATGCCACATGACAAGATCTAGATTGATATTGTAAACAAAACATGCAAAATTTGTGATATGTTCATACATACAATCACTTCAGGGGTGCCATGCATCTTTCATTCATTATTCAGGTAAATGAAATGCAAAGGGAGAAGAACTTTGATGCCCTGGTCGATAGAGAACTGGGGAGCAACTATGACAAGATTGAGGTCGGGGAGATGCTACAAGTCGCCATTCTGTGCACTCAATATCTGCCTGCGCACCGCCCGAAGATGTCTGAGGTGGTTAGGATGTTGGAAGGAGATGGTCTGGCTGAAAAATGGGCAGCTTCACATAACTACGACCGTCACACACCCCTCCACTTATCTAAGGTCCCGGGGTATGATGACAATGATTATGACCATATACCCATCTTCGGGACGATGATGGATGATGATGGCTATGATGCACATGCCATGGAGCTTTCAGGTCCTAGATAAATTAAATCACTGAAGTAGATAAAGTTAATTCTTGATATAATCTTTACTTGGTAAATTCTTAACCGATTAAATGCTATCAATCCTTAGTTTTAGCTGAAAAGCAGTAGTGAAAAAGGCAGAAAATCCAACTTCCTATTCTCTTTGCTTTACTTTTTTCCCACTACTCTCCCATTGTCTTTTGGGAAATGGCAACATGCCTTCTTTGTGGTTGGAACTGATTCTGAATTTCCAATAATTGTGTGGAAATAATTAGTATTTCAACCTGTAGATAACTTTCCTTTTTTGTTTGTTAGTAAATACTCCCTCCGTAACATTTATATCTTCCCACTTTCCTTTTTTGGATGTAACATTCATATCTTCCCATTTCATAATCTTCCAATCATACCCTCAATAATTTTAAAAATAATACACTATTACACCTACTTTTTTTGGATTTATCCTTCATTCCAACACATTATTTCACTATCTTCCCATCATACCCTCAATAATTTATATCCCCTTTCACTATTCTTAATCTACCTACTTTTCAAATGGGAACATATATATGTTACGGAGGGAGTGTGCTTTTTATTGTGTGGCTATATGATGCCTAGTTGTAATAGTTTGGGATCTGATTGGTACTTTCATGCATCACGAGACTAATGCTCTGTTTGGTAAATGGTAACCAAAAATTGTGCTTATTAGTAAATAAATAGAGCATGCATCTTTCAACTTACTTATTTTGCTGCAATTGTTACGCTTTTAGTTTCTAAAACTTGAGCAGAATCGAACAGTTTAGCAACATTACTCAGGGTCTGCTTGGATGGAGAAGCATGAAATGGAATGCTTGGAGAGCATGTCCACAGTTACCACCTCCGTTCCATTTTATGTGTCTCTTTTGGTTTTGACACAATTTTTAATGATATTGTTGAAAAGGTAAAAGTTGTGGTTGAGACTTGAGTATAGTAAAATGAAATTTTGCGAACCACATATTTTTTCCAAAAAGGAAAATGTGACACTTATGTTGAGATAATTCATAAAAGAAAGTAAGACAGGTAAAATGAGACGGAGGGAGTAAGTTTCTAAAGGTGGTAGAAATTAGAGGTAGACAAGATCCTGCACTGGTGGGAAATGAGTTCAGGTCCATGGCCTGATTTTTGGGACTAAGACCTAGGGGTGGGTTCGGTTCTTGCGGTTCGGTTTTGACCTAAAACCAAATGTAGAATCAAAGTAAAAAGTTCGGTTCGGTTTCGGTTCGGTTTTACACTCCAAAACTTGGAACCACGATTTGATTGGTTCGGTTTGTTTCGGTTCGGTTTCGGTTTTTTCGGTTTTTTTACCAAAAATTTTTCACTTGATTTAAAATTGATATAATAGTTAGAGGGATCAAACATATTAAATAAAAAAATTCAAGCACAATACAACGACATATAAAATAAAAATGAGAAGAGATTGATTTAATTTGTTTGTGAGTAGTTTGAAAATTTTTCATGAATATATATGTTCTATGTGATATAGTTGAGATTAATATTTATTGTTTTATCAATATAAAATCTTTAAGTTATCTAAAAATAAAAGTTAATTACGACTAATAACTAGTAAACACATATGATCATCATTCAATATAGCTATTATTACAGACAATGAATGTGTAAATGAATTTATAAACTAAATTAAATTAAACATAACACAAACATTATTTTTCTAACACAAGAAAACCAAAGACTATTGATGATATTAAGATTAATTAGAATTAATGCTTAACAATTAACATATAAATTTCATATTTTAAATAGTTCGGTTTGTTCGGTTCGGTTCGGTTTTGAAGGGTAAAAACCAAAACCGAACCGAACAACTTCGGTTCGGTTCGGTTCTTTACATTCGGTTTCGGTTTCTTAGCGGTTCGGTTTTATTTGGTTGCGGTTCGGTTTAATTTGATTCGGTTTTCGGTTTTCGGTTTTTCGGACCCAGCCCTACTAAGACCATTGGTTCTGGTCCATTTAACTTTTTTTGCATAGAACCATATACAAGCATTTTAAAAGAAGTGGGATCCATTTGTTGAAAAAGGTTGGAGAGGGGTTTGAATGATTTAAATAATAAAAAGTAAATAAAAAAATCAGGATCCAGAATCATCTAGAAAACCTGGATCAACTTGGAATCGGAACTGACTTGGAAATTGGAATTGGAACTATACGTATTGGTCTTGGGTCTCGCTATTTTTTAGAACTGACTAGTCTTGGAACAGAATACTCCATATTGTTGATCTAGTTTGGATGTTTTAGAAAAAAGAATTTTTTTGGGCCTAGCCCGGCCAAGTATTTATAAGGGGCGAACTTCGGACTTGCTTTTTTGGACCCGGCCTGGCCCGGTTTGAGCCCAAATGCACTATTTTTATTTTTTAACCAAATGGGTGGCATTGACCCGACCCTGGCCCGAAGCCCGATACTGTTGGGCCCGGTCTGGTCCCGAAGCATACCCGGCCTGAATTCCTTAGTCCCGAAGCCTGCCCGGACCCGATCTAACCTGACCCATTCCAGTCCATTCCTGTTTCAAATAGGTAACCAATTTGGGTAAGAAGGCAACCCGGTTGATAATAAGTAGATTTTATGATTTTAGTTGCATGATGAGATGATATTTATTCTAAATTAAAATAAATGTGAAATCGTTCCAAGTCAAGTATCTTGTACTCTAAGAGCCCGTTTGGTAACACAAAAATCCGTCTGAATTTATGAAGTTCTGGCTGAAGTGGCTGCATTGGTTGATTCTGTTGATTTAAGAAAATACTTCCTCCGTTCTTTTTTAATTGCAACAGTCAACTTTTCACGCTTGCCAACGCAGAAGTTTGACCGTTAATATCTTTCATTCCTTATTAGTAAAAAAATCAAAAAAATCAGATTTTGAAAATTTATTATGAGAGGAATTTAAAAATATTTTTTAAAAATTTAATTCATAATATATTAATAAATAAAATGTAGTCAAAATAGAATCTGTGAATAGTGAAAAAAGTCCTACGTTGCAACTAAAAGAGAACGGAGGTAGTATTATTTTTAAAATATACGGAGTATTTTTATTAATAAAATAACAAAAAAATTATATGTAAAAATAGTTAAAATGGTCATCTTTAGTAACTTCGGTCAATACAATTAGAAAAGTAACTTCAAACTTACTTTTTCTTATTATTACATAATTCAGCGTGTAAAAACAAAAGTTGTAAGTTTGGCAAAAAAGTTGTCTGATAAGTCTGATAAGCCAAGAAACAATGTTACCAATCAGCATCTAAGTCTGACCAAAAGATGTACTACTATATTGATTATTTTGTACTTTGTCAATTTTTCTTGTTTTGTTTGTCAAACAAATTATGTCACATTCTTTTTAAAGTAAATCAAGAATTTGTAAACTTATTTATTTCTCTCTTTTTTATAAATTTCAAAGTCTATACTCCCTCCGTCTCCGTCTCCGTCCCTGAAAAAACCTCAACTTTTCTTTTTTTTGCGTTCCAAAGTAAACTTTCATTTTTCTTTTTTGGTCAATAATTTATTGTTCAAAGTATTTCTTACACATTTTTCTTTTCTGCACAATTCTTTATTTAGTACTCCGTACTTATTTTATTTCACACCTAATTTTAATATGAAAATGTCCAATTAATATGGAGGCAAATAAGTAGCCTCAAAAGCTTAAGATGCCTGAGTGGGCAGAAGGTGTGACTGACCCTCGGAGAGAGAATAAAGGCAGGGAAGGGCAAAGCAAAAGGGTTTTTCTTTTTGACTGAAAGTAGAAGATGAGAGATGAACTGTCATCATTGTCTCATCTCACCAGTACTGCCAGGTTTGTTTGAGACTGCCGCAGTAGGGGCTACCCTCTTGGGCCTCTTCCCATCATCTCCTTTTCCGAAAAAAAAAGGATGACACCCCATCTCTGAGGGCCCTCAACACCGATCGGACGACACGATGGGAGGATGTAAATTGGACTATAATCACAATCTGATAGATAGAGAGTGGGGCTCTGTCCCCGGTACTTACAGAGGCCCTATGCATTTTTCAGCATAGTAACCCCTCATCGTAGTTGCCCGGGATTCATATCATCTCCTTTTCCAAGTTCATGTGTTTCCGTTCTATTATCATCCTTTTTTTTTGCAAAAAAAAAAGACACTTTCTCCCTTTTTTAACGTTTTCATGTCTAGGAATGCACAAATTTGATCGTTTGATCATTAATATATGGCGAAATTTACAAGAATAATAATATAAATTGAATATACTAATCAATAGAGAGGATGAAAGATTCTGTCATGTCTTATTCCATTCATATGCAGAGGTATAAATACAATAGGAATTACACAGTAAATATGGAAGCTGCACAAAATACAAAACTAGTTATGGAAACCCAATATTCTATCGCACAAATAATAATACATATGAGCTGTACATTGTTATACCGTATGACCGGTATACGGTGAGCACCGTATACCGGCATACGGTTTTTGGCAAGCAGCATATTTGGCAAGCACCGGATCTTTATTCTTTATTTCTCTTTTTTTTTTTAAAATGGTAATAACTTTTTTATTTTTGATCCGATTTTTATAAAATTTATACCAACATTTTTTATTTTTCATGATCTTTCAAATGAGACCAATATTGCCTATGTAATTTTAACCTATATAAAATATGTAATTTTACGTGTAGAAATATGTAACTCACGTCCAGTCAGGCCAAATGCAACTCGTGTGTATAAATATGTAACTCTACGTGTAAAAATATGTAACTTTACTTAAAAAAATATGTAACTCGCGTTCAGACAGGTCAAATGCAACTCGTGTGTACAAATATGTAACTCGCGTGTATAAATATGTAACTTTACATATAAAAATATGTAACTCTACGTGTAAATATATGTAACTCGCGTTCAGGCAAGTCAAATGCAACTCGTGTGTATATATATGTAACTCGCGTGTAAAAACATGTAACTTCACATATAAAAATATGTAACTCACATGTATAAATACATAATACAATGAATTTTTTATATACACAATTTTAAGATAATTTGTGATTTACACAATTATTTTTCTGTATTAAATTTAGTTTGGTTTTCTTTATAATCCAATACACATTAATATAATAGTTCGATAATTTCTTAAAATTACATAAGCAATATTGGTCTCATTTGAAAGATCATGAAAAATAAAAAATGTTGATATAAATTTTATAAAAATCGGATCAAAAATAAAAAAGTTAT